AGGTGGTTCTGTTTGTATTCAACTCCCTGTGCTTCGTATTTCACGACAGATGCAGTGTCATCGTCTCAGTTTCGTGGTTTAGGGTTTAGGGTTTAGGGTTTAGGGTTTAGTCGTTTTTGCTTTCTATTGGGGAGCTGTTTATATTTCATGAATCCCACACCCTCACGAAACCCTAAACCCTAAATTCAGGAGTAGGTTTAGTGTTTAGTGTTTAGGGTTTAGAGGGTTTAGGGTTTAGGGTTTAGGGTTTAGGGTTTAGGGTTTAGTGGATTGCGTGGTTTTACAGATTTGGAACCCAGTGCACTTCGGCGACTATCTTGACTTGTCCAGCTACATCGAGGGCACCAACGCTGCTGCAGCCCCTGCTGCTGCAGCTGCTGCAGCTGCTGCAGCCCCTGCTGCTGCTGCTGCTGCTGCTGCTGCAGCGTCTGCAAGCGCAGCTACGCCTGTAGAGCTTGGGCCTGCGCCTCCATGCGTCCACCCGTGTGACGAGAGGCAAGTGTTGGGGTGTACGTACACCTCAGAGAGCAGGGGAGGAGGTTTGCCTTCCACCGCAGTGGAGGCATCAAAGAGTGAAAAGGAATCAACAAAAGAAGAAAAAGAAACAGAAGAAGAAAAACAAGTAGATACAACTGAACGCAGCGACAGCGACAGAGCACAGCAATCGGATGCGGTTTCTGTTTGTATTTCAAGTGGTTCTGAAATGGGGGCCCAAGCAGCGAATTCAACTCCTAGCTCTCCACGAGGTGTACGTACACCTCAAGGGGGCCGTGCATCGGGCTATGGATATAAACTAGCGGCTCTGGTAGAACATGAAGGCCCCGCAACAGAGCAGGGGCATTACGTGTGCTACGTGAAACACATAGACTCTGAGAGTTGGTTTAGAGCTGATGATAAGGTAGTTGAAGCCGTCGATCTGCAGCGTGTTCTCGCTGCTTCTCCCTATATCCTTTTCTACCAGCGTCTTGGGGGCGCAGAAACAACAGAAGAAACAAACAATATAGAAACGGAAAACGAAGAAAACAAAAAAACGAATCATGATGCGACGGAAATAAACAAAGAAGCATGCAGTAGTGAAGCAAATACAGAAGACACAGAAACAAAAAAAGAAAAAAATAAAGATTCAGATACAGAAACAAATCATAATTATAATGTTCAATCCCCTCCATTTATAAGGGGTTGCGCTAATCTTAATCAACAACTCGCTGTCGCTAGGTGCCTCAGCAGGGGCCAGTGGCCTCAGTGGCAGCAGCTCATCCGCCAGAAGTTTAATTCTGATAATGCAGCCAGTCGTAATCACACAGGTCAGCGCACTCCCAGCGCTGCGGTGTACAGACAGACAGCACAGGTTCGCTTACTTAAAAAGTTTTTTGTTCGTTCAGGAGCCCATACGTATACAGCTGCATGCTTGCACATGGATGCATGAATATATATATATATATATAGGTAGATATAATTTGTTTTGTGCTTGTTTGCTGCAGGTGTCAGGCCCGAGG